GTCTGACACTGTCCCATAATGCAGGAAATCACTTTAATTTTTGACCAAATCAAAGCGAAATGAATGTTATTGATTGAATATTCTCTGTAATAAATACCAGTAGAATAATCTAATCTGTGTTTTATCAGCTGCAGTAGCAACAGAGTAAACCGACCTGACAGCAAATCAGAACCAAACATAAAAACATATTTATGTGATTTCTGCATCAACAACTAAATACACGTCTGGTTCCCATGGCAACGCGGTATATACAATATGCAATTCTGTAACTACACGACTTCATTCAGTGATATTAGTGACGCACAACTCAGCATGTTTGCAGATAAAACTCATTCCCTCAGCTGAGAATCTGTATCGCTCATAAATAATAGTCAGTAAACGATCTGGTTAGAGGGAGACGCTCTTTCCAGCCAATTTAAATCCCAAACTCTGACCATAACCTGATCCCGACCAGGTGAGCACCACAGCATCAGTTACCATGGAGATCCAGCAGGTAAAAAGAGAGCCACCTTCATGACACTGAAAACTCGGACTTTCGGCTTAACATACCTCGATAACCCACTAATCTGACTTCGTCGTACAACCCTTAGTAAGAAGTGAACCCCCTTCATGGCTCTAAGAACCCAGAGTTAAGCCAGAAGTTATCTCACACAACCCAAGTCCTACTTCATAGTGCAGATTTACAATCTTAACTTATGCATGCGGGTCCAGATGTTGTTGTTGTTCAGTGTCTTCTGTGCAAATGGCATCAACATAGTGTTTATCAAACCATCTGTTGTTTGTGTTTGGCTCCTTGTCAGCCACGATGTGTGATTTGCTTTACAGACACACAGCCTCATTGTCTGGCCTCACAACATGGACCTGACGATAAATAAACACTGATTAGTTTCGCCGTCTAAGCATAAAGATTCCTTATAATCAGCCGCCCACCAGCGCAAATTCTAAACCGCTGATGACCAAATTAGCATTAAGTAATTTATTAGTGTACGTTGGCATCATTGTGCTTTTTCTCCAATCAGCATATCGCTATTACGTAACCAAAAACGTGCTTTACATGAGCACAAATTACGGGATGTTCAAGAACCTGTAATTATTGTCAATACATTTTGAGCGTCATCAGCGATTCAGAACAGCACAAATTTGTTTTCATGCACCGGAGAACGAATGTCCGAGACGCTGCCGGGAAGCACGGCGGCTCAGTTTGCTTGCAGAGATGCAAAGGCTTAACAAATGTTGTGTTATTCTTTCTTGCATCCACCGGTTAAAACCTGCTGACAGCAAGATCCCAGTTGCAAAAGTTTACACATCTCTTCTTAATTTAAACTTTCTGTGTGATTAGAAAAGGCTTTTGTCCTGCAGGTACAGAACAGTGTTCACTCCAAAATAAAGATAAACACACAATCATAAGTTTGAGTAAAGGTTCTGTTGTGCTGTTTACATTCCTGAACCGCTGAGTGAAAGTGAACCTTAAAAATAAACCGGGGTGTGTTTACTGGTGCTTGCAAATGTATGTTTCTGTCAGACTTTATGCAAACTGTGGGGTCAGACTAAAAATACGATGATCTCAGAGCTAAATGCAGAGTCACTGGTAAAATTAATGTTGCCGTCGGCGTTAGCGGCGCAGAGACAACGTGACATTTGCAAAGATTCACAGCACACATAAACAAGACGATGTTATTTACAGAGCGGAGGGGCACATAATGGAGAGCAAAGCTTCAGCCTGAAGCGCTCACTAATATACACGTGCAACTGTGGGATGTGACGATCGTGTTTTATCGTTATTATTCCTGTGTATTCATGCGACAACCACGAGTCATCTGGAACTCCTGGATTAGACTGCTGAAGCATGTAGTTTTGCAGATATTGTGAAAGTGTGCAGAAATGCCACTTGGGTACACAACAGTGCAACACACACACACAAAAAGAAATACTGCTGATTTCAGTTCACTCGTGCTTCACTGCAGTAATCCAGTCAGTGCTGATTCAGTTTTTCACTCAGCTGTGGTTTCATTTGCTACGACAAGAGACATAATTTTAAACAAAACAAATACAAATGACTCTGAACATCAGCTAAGCTTGTGTTTTATAATCTACATTTTAAGGTTCTTTATGGGATACTTTCCCTGTTTCCTGATCCTGCACGCGCCGCTGGAGGCTAAATGTAGCTTTGGTTTGCTTGCGTTCATCTGATGTTGGAGCCAGCTGACAAGTTTGGTTAGTCAGCCTGGATAAGTTAGATTCAGGTCAATGTAGAAACAAAGCATCTCTACCTAAAGGTCCTGCTTCTGTATTGTTTCTACAGATTTATCAGCTGCAAACATCTGCAGAGGTCTGTTTAACTTTAAACACGCATCTTGTTAGGACAGATGCCGCAACAGCGTCTCTCTGGAGCTGGTCTATCTGCTCATCAGGCTGTAAGGCGTAAACCTTGCTCTGCTTGACTTTCTCCAGCATGCAGGCTTGACGTGCTGCAGCCAGGCCTCCTGTCTGGGTTTCTGCAACAGCTGAAGGAAAGTTAACTGGAGCAGAAGGTGGACTAGAATTAAATATAAGGCAGGGATGGTCAACAGAAAAAGGAGGAGGAGGAGGAGGAGGGGTGCTACTGGAATCTGGTTTTGGCCCCGTGCCTGCATGATTTAGGGTGCAGTAACTTACCAGACATTTGATCTTTCCCTCGGCTGCATTAAACCTGAGACACTGGCCTGTTTATGCTGTTTCACTGGGAGCTTACTGGGTTTGGTTTTTGTGTGCTGATGGCAGGTCTGTGTTTTGAGCCTCCAAATTTTTGATTCAGAAGATACACTGTGTTATGTTTGTTATTTTGTTAAACCAAATGCAGTGCTGCCCATTTGTTAACACACCCGCGGTCCAGGATGGAATTATGACTACATCCGGGATATTCCAACAAGCGGGCTTCAAGATGGCAGCGAGTTAAACTAGTCTATGGACGGGACTGGCACGATCTACATGGCCTATATCGGACGTATTTAGGAAATAAAGTATTTAAGGAAAGACAACAAGACTTGTTTTAAACTTTTATTAAATATTAAACTCGTGTATGAACATGAAAAAAGGTCAAACATTAAAACTGCCTACTTTCTACCAACGATCAATAAACATGTTTACAAGGCTCTGCAACGATGCGATTCTTCTTCATGTGCCCTAATTCATGTCAGACAGTGTGTGAATAATGAAGCAGATCTCAGGTGAGCAGGTAACTGACAAACAAACAAACACGTTGCCTTCTGCGGCTGATTGAGGTGATAATCTGCCACGCATGACCGACGCTCGGCCTGTGAGCCGTAACGATCCGTCGAGCATGACTTGAAACAGTCAAGTTATTCCTGGAATCAATTTTGGGGAATTTTGTTATGACAAAAACTGGGATCGTGACATTGTTCTATGACAATAAACTATTTTACTACAGGCTATATAGGAAATGATTGAGGACTTTGATATTTTATGATTAGAAACAGGATATTCTTTAAAGCAGTCTGACATGAAGTGGGCAGCACTGTACACAATAACATACGTCTGATGAAAAACTGAAAGTTTATTTTGGTTTTTGTGTGATTTTCAGCATTTATTTGGTGCACAGACAACAAAGCTCACTGTTTATCCTGGTGTCAATCTACTTAAAAAACACAAAAAATAACGAATGCAAACTTTCACCAATAATGCTAACAAATGTGTAGCTTTGCCAAGTAAAGACGACTCAACACCGTCTGCAACAAGTTTTTCCACTTAAAGGCTTCAACTTTGCAGCAGCTGCTGTAGAGCTGCAGCAATTAGTTAATTAGCTGACAACTATTCAATTAATCCCCATTATTTTGATCATTTATTGCTCCATTTGAGTGATTTTTTTAGAATAAAAAGTCAAGACATTTGCCATGTTGGTCTTTAGGAACATCGATCAATATTTTGCACCATTTTCTGACATTGTACAGGCCGAAGAATTTATTGGTTCATTGAGAAAATATATAACTAATTGACAATAAGAAATAATCATTAGTTGCAGCCCTAACCTGCATAAAGTGGTGAGATTGTGTAGCAGTATAGTTCGATTAAAACGTGAAACTGGTCTGCAAAACATTTAATTGCACGTTGTGACTCTCACTAATACAGAGAAATCTAATACTGCGGGGTCTTTAATGATAGTTTCAATCTTAGATAAAAATGATAATACTGTCCTGTCAATGTTCTTTAAATATTTTATTTACATACAGCCGATGATGTAAGTCTGCAACTATTTCTTTTTACTTAATTCATGTTTCAATCACGGGCTGCAAGGTGGTGCAGTGGTTAGCACCGTTGCCTCGCAGAAAGAAGGTTGCCGGCTCACGCCCTGGTGGTTCACCGGGATCTTTATGTGTGGAGTCTGCATGTTCTCCCCGTGCAGTGTGGGTTCTCTCTGAGTCCTCCGGCTTCCTCCCACAGTGATGATTGGTGATTCTAAATTGTCTGTAGGTGTGAATGTGAGTGTGCTTGGTTGTCTGTCTCTAAGTGTAGCCCTGTGATAGACTGGTGACCTGTCCAGGGTGTCCCCTGCCTTCACCCTGAGTCAGCTGGGATAGACTCCAGCCCCCCACGACCCTAGTGAGCATTAAGCAGTGTATAGATGATGAATGGATGGATGTTTCAGTCACAATATACTTGAGAACAAGGTGATATCTTTAAATATCTGCAATGTAAGACGAGGAAAACTGTCACATTCAAGAAGCCACATTTTTGCTTTATATATAATTAAATTAACTGATGATCAAAATAGTTCCAGATTATTCATCCTTTAATAAGAAATTGTATTATTTACTACATGTTGCTGCTTTATCCTGATGCGTGGCTTCATCTTTACTCAAAACATCAGAACATTCAATTATTTGTGTAATTATGTCAATATTTCAGCAACTACTCTGTGTCGCTCTCCTTAATTTGAAAAGATAATTTGATGTTTAAAGAGATGAGAAAGAGAAAACTGACCTGCAGCCTTTTGTTTTCCTCAGACGGGACTGTTCAAGCTGTCAAATGAGGAGTTCTTCATTCAGCCTCTGGAGAAGCAGAGCGACGACACCTCGGCTCCGCAGGCTCACGCCATCTACAAACGCCACGCGTCTCCTCCCTCCAGGACTCCAGTCGCACTGCCCATCTCAGGGAAACAAGCTCGCAACGGTACCTGCGGAATCAAAAGTAAATCACACATTTTCATTTGCAATTCTGGGAAGCTTCCCTTTTCTTGTTTGTTCTGTGAAATTGTGTGTAGTCGGGTAGCGCATGTGAGAGTGAGTCAGATGAGCTGCTGGCGTTATGCCGACTCATAACACGCTGAACGATAAGAAAGAAGGTGACGACTTATTAAACTTTGTTGTCTGCATCCAGTCGGTAGTCTGCAGAGGAGTGAAGTCACTGAAGTGTAGCAGCTCATGAATAAGCTGCTTAAGGTTCTAACTTGTGACCCTGAAAGTAAACTGAGCATTCTGGAGCGATCGAGAGGATGTGCTCTGAGTCTGTAAATACATTATGAGGAAACCGCATGGCTTTTATTTTGTGAGTCGCTTGAAAACAACAACAACAAAAGCAGACCTGTTGTCTTTTCCTGGCATCAGTCACACTAGGGTGTGACTAAGAGGTAGTAGTAACACTTTTTATATGATCAATCACTTTTTGTTTGCTGCCTGGACAGATAAGCTACACTTGAGCCTTGAATTTTGTGACATGAAGAATGAGGAAGAAGGAAAAATATTCCACAAAACAAGTCTTGGTTGTGTTTTGAATTCTAAAACAAGACGTATACAGTCTAAAGACACCCAGTAGTGGCTTCACTAAAGATCACAGCTGCATCGTTTAGTATCAGTTTGCTCTTCTTCTGTTTGCAGAACAGCTCGACAAGGTCTGAACCGTTGACCGTGTTCCATAATAACTGGTGAAAGTTGTCCAAGTTTTCAGTTTATCCACATGTGAACAGAGTTAACATTTCTTTCTCTGTGGCATCCTATACAAACTGTATGGAATGTAGGTCAGCGCTCTGAAGGGGGCAAGTTTAAGACTTAGATTTTGCCTGGAAACACATTGTGTTCATGTTTTGGATTAATGTAATTGTATTCTGACTCACCGGATGTAGACTGTGGGTGTAAGCCTGGCATTGGCTGTGACTTGAATGTGGGATTTTCCTCCTTTTCCACTGGCTCCAGGTTACTGTTTTCAAAATCCCCTTGACTTTAGGAAACAAGGACTTCTGAGCAGCAATCTGTGTTGAAAAAAAGTTTTGACTCATATTTGAATCATAGATGTATGCAGGTCTGCTTGGTTCTTTCGTTGAATGATTGTAAAGTTCCCACTTGCTTAGACAGTAAATGCTGAAGTGAACATGTTCTGTGTAGAGTTTTACAACAGCGACAGAACAGGAAGACGTCCTTGGATGTTTGCCCACCAGTTATGGAAAAAGTTTCCAAGCGTGTTCCAACAAAACTAGTTTGCCCCAGACAATATTTTGCAGGGACACTGTTGCTGCATCACGGGCTAAACACCGTCCAATTTAATTGTGCTTGGTTAAAGAAATGCTAACAAACCAGAGTGTTTTTGTCAATGGGTGTTGTCAGACCATTCTCCAGCGTTGGCGTGGTGCTGTGGAGATAAGTCTGACTATGTGAGGCTAATGTTACTAAAACTGGGGATTTCTTTAAGTGAGCATCCAGCATTCATCTGTACACTTCATGATTAAATGAGCTAACATGATTTCACCTACACCACTGTAAGGAAAACAGTCCCAGACTATGACTTTCCCACCACCGTGCTCTATAGTACAGCAAGGTGGTGGGAAAGTCATAGTGTAAAGTCATTTGTAAAATACGTTTGCTCTAACAGTATTTTGCAGGGGCACCATTGCTGCATCTTGGGCTAAGCATCGTCCAAGATAATTATGATTGAGTTAAAGAAATACCAACAAACCATAGTGTTTCTGATAATGGGTGTAGTCGGACCATTCTTCAGCTCTGATACAGTGCTGTTTAGATAAGTCTGGCTTTGTGAGACTAATGTCAATGAAGCTGGTCTTTAATGCATCTGACATTCCTCTGCACAGTTCAGGGATTTACAATATAAATACAATTTTCAACTACACCACTGCAGGACAAACAGTCCCAGACTATCCATACTATACTCTAAGTGTAGCCTTGTTGGAGTTCTGCTTGTGGACTTTCTATCATCAGATCCATATAGGTTGCATTTGGACTTTGCCAAAAACACCACACGCCTTCAAAAGCTGCTTTCTCTCTGTGCATGTTCTTTTGCAAATGTCCTTGTCTTATTCTTTGTGTCTTGAATGCTTTCATCGCTGCCTGTCTCTCCTCTGTATTAATGCTCGTCTGTGCTGTTGGGAACAGTCTGTGAACCGAGCTGTGTCTGGTAATTGTCATTGATCTCTGAAGGGATCTTTGCTGCTGCTTCTCTGCTTTAATGATTTTCCTCACAATTATGTGGTTCAATCTGCAGCCGGTCTCAGCGGGTCTGCCTGTTGAACTTTTTTGACAATCTATCCAACTGTGGAACACGGAAGATTACGTTTTTTTGATGAGTCGAAAAATAGAAACTACGCTTTAGCTGTTCTCCGAGCTCTCCATTGACGTTTTTGCATTTGCTTTTAACTGATCGTTTTGGAGGTAATGTATATTGAATGTGTGAGTCAGTTTCCCTTCGGTTCGCTCAGGTGGCCCCAGCAGAGTAACGTGTAGTCCATCACATCAACGTTGGACTTGTTCCACTCAGTTTGACAATCAGAACCTTGTTATTGCCACTTAGAGAGGTCTGTTTCTGCTTTCACAAGGGACATTCTAAAGGTAATTGTTTAGAGGAGTGCGAAATGTGTTTTTCTGTACAAAATGAAATATCAGTTTAAGTCTGTTTTTTGTTAATACACCTGATATATCAAGAAAATCCATCACTTTGATAGAAATATCTCACTGAAATCAAGTAATGACCAGTGTATTTTGCAATAAAAACCCCCAAACTGGTCTAAAACCCCCTTTGTGCACACATGTTCGTTTACAGCAATTCACAGTTACAATAAAATGAAACCATCCTCATTAGAAAAGGTACAGGCTGGACTCACAGGCAGGTAGGAGGATTATTGAGAATTACCTTGAAGCTACACAAAGGTATGAGTGCTTTGATTTTCAGACAACATCGCAGATTATTTCAAGAGATTGCTGTTGGCAACAATGACAAACAAAGTGTGTTATTAAAAAAAACAAGTACGAACAAACTGATCCACATGTATTTGTGCAATTGAATAACACCTCGAATAGCAGCTTGGCCACGAGCAGGTTCATTGATCCAAGAGAAACAGCTCTAGATAGAGTGTGTGCAACAAGTTATTTTTGTACTTGTTTTGCTGACACAAACTGTGCCTCAGTGACTTTAAAGTTTTAAATGTCTGTCTCGTACCATCTCCAGACTCCCACCCAAGCTTAGAAGACATCGAGCGGCAGCGGGAGCGATGGGAGCTCCGGCAGCAGAGAAAAAGGAGGAGGATTCGTCAGCGCTCCGTCAGCAAAGAGAAGTGGGTGGAAACGCTGGTGGTGGCCGACCCCAAAATGGTCGACTATCACGGCAGCAAAGCTGTGGAAAGCTACGTCCTGGCTGTCATGAACATTGTAAGTATCCAACAGTAAACCTGCAGAGTGTAGAACTTTTGTCTCCCCCTTCTGGCAGTGAGAGTAACTACACAAACACAGTTGACGTATGCTTGTGACGGATGCTTTGCTGTTTGATCGGTTTCTTTTTTCGACTGTAATCTTTTCTCTGCAGGCCGAGTTTCTTTTTTTATCTTAAAGCATCAGAAACTTTTCTTGGTCACGTCCTAGTTTTTTCACTCCTAAATGCTTCAGTTTACTCTCTCTGTTGCTGCAGTTGCTCCACAATTTCTCTCTGGCAAATCAATCTTTTGCTGGTTGGCGTGAAATATTTTGTTACCGGTGTGGAGTTGTTGCCACAGAAACCAGACTGCTGCAAGATAAAGGTGATAAAAGGCTTAACCAGTGTGTGAACCTGTAACAGTTGTAACAGACATTTCAGCTTTGACAACAACAAAACTCTCAACATCAAAAATCCAGTTTGAGGTAGTCTTTGATAAGCAATTTTAACCCACTTGATCGCCTTCAAGCATTCATCAATGCATACAAATTATAGCATTCTGTTAAGCAAAAGCTGAAAAAAATGTGCTTCTTCATGATTGATTCGACTAAAACAGAATTTTAAACCAGCAGCCTGGTAACTGAGTCCAAAAATATTCCCACAAACACCTCTAAAACATAGGAATTGTGTTTATTCCATACACAAAAGTTATGGTTTACATGCTGTGGAACTATTTCTTGGTTGGGAGCAGTGGCTTCTTGAGGCCCTGTCATCTCAGTGAGGCTTCCAGGGACCTGAGATGATACAAACGCAGAATAATACATGTGTACATGTGTTAATTAGTGAGTTTTATAGGTGCTGGTAGGTAGATTGTGTCAGCTGTGGACAGATTTGTGCTGGATGTTTTTAGCCTGTATGCTAAAGCTGAGCTAAGCATATTCACATATCTGCATGTGTGACGTGTTGAATTGTTTGGTAGATTACCCAATGATGCTCATTTTTTCAAATCATTTGGGCAGAAACATGAACAAATGAATGTATGAGCTGAGATTACTTTGTCATGTGTATGAAATTGCTTACACACTGCCGTTTTTCTTTAAAGCAAGCCGTAAAAATTGCGTTCTATAATTGTCAGCTACACAGCTAAAAATAATATGGCAAAATAGTTTGATATGTTCAAACTGTTTCTAACAAAAAACAAGAACTCTTGCAGATGTTTTGAAGGCAGAGTTTGAACATCTTCCTACATGTTCTGGATGACACATTTCAGTTTTTCCATCTTCTTGTGTGTCAGATAACACAATGAATGCGTTCATCTTTTGTCATCTATTTTCTTTTTCCAAGCAGGACTCTCTTGCCTTCCACAGCTGATGTTATTACTCGCCACTAGTTTGGGGTTAAGCAAACTGACTCCTTGTCTGTTATTGATTAGCACATAAGTGAAGGTTTTCCAAACTAAGTTCATGTTGACTGCAGCTACCATCAGAGGACAGAATATCAGGAAAGGGAATTCACTGACAGAATAGGACACGGACTAACCGACTTAGCAGACAATAATACATGGAGGAAGCAGCCATTATTCCCCACATCCTCTCGTGGTTCTTTTTTTGAGTTCTTTATGCTGCAGCTTTGAACTTTAAGGCCCCAAACAATTCGGTTTGGTGAAAACAATCTTGCGGAGCTTCAAGGGAAACAGCCTCTTAGCCGTGTCCAAACAATAAGTAATGTCATCATCTTTCCTCAGCCACCAGTTGCTCCATTGTCTCATCGCCGACGAGGTCTCGAAGTCGTCGGCTTCACAAGAGCTTCGTGTTTTTGTGTTCTGCTGCTCTTGTGTGTTCACAGCGGAATGATTTACACACATGTACCAACCGGGATGGTCAAACTCAGCAGAAAGAAACTGGATTTGCTTCCACAAATATCGCTCCCAGCTTCCTTTCACATGATGATGGAGAATTATCATATTTTCTCAGGGATATTTATTATCGCTGCGTCTTAATAAACAAACAGAATGTAAAGGCAGACGCAGTGAGCATTCAATAAACACTATTTAACCTTAGATGCACAGTATGTGGTTTGAGCGGATGTAACATCAACAGCACATTGTTGTGGGCTTTAAATAGCCGCAGCTCTGTTTTCATTCACAACGTAAACAATAGAGAAAAATGTGTAAAGACGGAAGAAACATACGCCGTCAGAAATGAATTCACTTCTTTCTATAAAAAGATTTCCCCTGATGCTTTAAAAAAACGAAAATACAGATGATACCAAATAGAATCTGAGGAAAAGTACTAATTTACATGTTATTGCACAAAACAAAGAGGCCAAAACAGTAAACAATGTCAAATATCAGTCATAATTCTAATTTCTTTTATAAATTACAAGGTTTTACAGCAATTTGTTTCTTTAATTTAACAAAAAGTATAATTAGTTTAATAATTGCTATTATTTAAAAGACATATTATGTATATTAAGGTTTGAAAAATACTGAATTGTTTTAGCTTTTATTTTACTGATTTTCTCAGTTTTATTAAATTGCAGACAGAAACTCATAAAACTATGCTGTATTAATCACACTGCGCTGTATTTATATGAGTAAACATGTCATTAAATTGCAAATACATTAAAAAAATCTATATTATATGTATTAAGGATTGAAAAAATTATAAATATTTTTTTAACTAATATTTTACAGATTTTCCCTGATTTGTTAAATTACATAAAATAACAAGTAAAACCACAGAAAATTATTAATTTACATTTTAACTGTAAAAGAAACAAGAAAATGGGCGCAACTGTCAATAATGTCTAGCTGGAAAGTCCATATTATTACTATTAGTCATTTGGTTTTTTATACTGCGTGACCATTAAACATTACACTGTTTTACTGAATTTAAATCTATTAAAAAATATCATTATTTTGCTTTGACAGTTTTAGAGTGTTTGAATGCTGCAGTATTCCAATGTCTTTAACACATGGCACCCTGACAGCTTTGTTTGTTTTTTCAATGTAATATTCTAGATAAGGTTTAAAAACAAGCAAAAAAAAAACAAACACTCTTGCAGTTTCATGTTAATATCTGCATTAATAATATCAGTGAATGACTATGAGGCTATGAAGAGAGTTTTTCTGTGTCACTGCTCCTCTGTCTGAAGTGCCTCAGTCTCACCCTTTGTACAGAGGGTTGAGTGTTTAGTCGCCCGACTGCTGGAAAAATGAGGAGAATCTGAGCCGTATTATGTGTCGCTTCTACAACTCTGCGTAATAACTCTGCTGCCATCAAGACTCAAGTGGTTGTTTATAAATGCAGTTATTTGTGTTGCAGAATAAGGCTTTTCTCTCTTGCTCCTTGGCATCAGTCTGCTGCAGTTTTTCGAATGAATATTTGAAATTCGTAGTCACTTTATCAACAATTATGTTCACTTTTCAGCTCGGGAAATGTGTTTGGTGCACTGAACAAGACATTTGTTGTGTTGAACATGTAGAAAGAAGGCTGGAGCTTAGCGCATTGTCAAAACGTGCATAATACATGAATGACGAGGAAAATAAAAGCCTCTGACCTACGGTATTTGTTGCATAGATTTGGGCTGTAATGTGTTTGCATTATTTGATAGTGAACAAAGCCTTTAGAATATTGCTGCACAGACACGACCTTAAACATCATCACATTTACTATCAAGTCCTAAACGTAGAAAGAGAGTCAATTCAACCCAATTTGTAGACAACTCAAAGCAAAAATGACAAAAAAAAGTATGTGAACCTTTGCTTCCAGTGTCTGGTGTGACCCCCAGAGTGCAGCAACAACTACTATAATAAGTCAGTCCTGCACATCGACTTTTAGTCCACTTTTACCCTCACAGGATCAATGAGGTATAAAAAAAATAAGAAAATAAAAATAAAAAAACAGCTTCATCTCTAGGATGTTGTGGGTTTCGTCACATGAACTGTTTGCTTCAGGACCGACCACAGCATTTTTGTTGGATTAAGGTCAAAAAGTTTCCAACAGTTGGTCTTTCCAAAACATTAACTTTCTCCTTCTTTAATCGTTATTCTATAGAAAGCCTTGTGTGCTCAGGGTCTTGCTACATGACCCACTTTCTCTGGAGACTCAGTTCACAGACAGATGTTCTGACATTTTCCTTCAAAGTTTGCTGGCAGAGTTCAAAATTCACTGTTCTGTCAATGATGCTGAGCGGTTCTTGCCCAAACTATGATACTACCACCGCC